TAGAGGTGAGTCTCTGATTAATTGATTTCTTGTTAAATTTAAGGTTGGGTTTTGATTATTAGGTGATTATTAAGCTTAAGGAGAGCTTAATTTATATTAAGACAACAATATGAAAGATATATGAATGATTAAAGAAATGAAGTGAATAAGTGAATTCTTGAAATAAAGTTCATAATTAGAATTGGAAGTGAAATTTGACTTGTCATCATGCTAATTAAGGAAAATGAAGTGTTAGAATTGTATTTAGAACATATTGAAATTTGAGTATGATTCTTGAAATCTATGTTAAGGAGTGGATTTTGAAGTTAAGTATGGATTGAATGAGTATTAATGAGTTCAAGTATGAGTAGATGAGTTAAGTATATGTAAAGGAATGAAATAGAAAGTGTTTGAGCAGAAATGAGGTGATTTTCGTGTTCAAAATATAATTTCTGGCCATAGGGTATCAATACCCCCTCTTGAATGAAAAATTATAGAATGTCAGTATGGTATCGATACCCCCTGAAGATGAAAATTTCCATAATGTTATCAGGGTATCTATACCCCATATAGGGTATCTATACCTTAAACAGGGTATCTATACCTCAGTTTGGGATGTACCGATACCTACTTTATACAAGAAATCAAATTGATCTTTCCTTTAGTATAATAATTGGAAGATTATAGTATACAATTGGATTACTAATATGTATAAATGTATAATTATGTAGATAGTGAATGTAACTTTGTTCCGCAACGATCGAGGGATTAGAAACGGTCGAGAAATAGATAAGTTCTAGAATCGATTCAAATCAAGCAAGGCTAAGGTGAGTGCATTTTTATAATTAAAGTGTATGGAGATAAGACTTGTGATAAGGCTATATATGATGGTTGAAATCATGATTCTAGACTCGTGTACATGCATACGTATACTATTGTGATAGTGATTGCATGCATAATTCATTATGTGTTAATATGATATTAAATGAGCGAATGTCATTGTCAGAGAATACAATCCAGGTATGTGGAATAATGGAAATGATTATATGTGTTTATATGAAAAGTGATGAAATGAGAAATGTATTCATATTTAAGCCCATGTTATATGATATGAGAGTTGTAGGTATAGTTGGCATGTCAAGAGTCGAGGGTTACAGTGGTCCTTCAGGACAAATCAGTGATCCTTCGGGATATAGTCGTCCTTCGGGACAAATATTCAGTGCCCCTAGTGGGAATTTATCGAGCTGTGGTGACAGCATAGTGCATAATCTCAATGTACTCACGTACCTTCTGTTCTCGATAATGTACATGGGTAAATGAAAAATAAATTTAAGTGAAAGTGGCACAAGAAGGTAAGTTTTATATGTACATGATATAGTTATATATGTTATAGTGAAAAATATACATGTATATTGAAATGTCATGATCAAATAGTAAGAATGCATATTCATGAATCTATTGTTACATGTTCATTTATTGCCTCACTAAGTCTATGACTTAGCGTGTAAGTGATTTACACGTAGGTACCAAGAAACAAGAAGAACAGTAATAGAAGTGGCAACGACAGCATCAGTACTAAAAGATCATATCAGGAGTAATCCAAAAAGTATGTATTTTGTTGTGTATAGAGTGGTGGTATGTAATAAGTTGTTAATTACGAATACTCTGATCGATTTTGTATTTTGTGGTCTCTTTTATGTAAATTAACATATTTTGTTTTAATGAAAGTTTAAAATTTCTCTGTTTTTCTTGAAGTGTCAAAGTTTGAAAAGTCAATGTGACACATCGGACTCATATTCGGGTTGGATACGGGTTAGGGGTGTTACAGTACCATACCGTAGCTTAGTAGGCATATATATTCATAGAAACTTACTCATGTATTCAGTTTATGAAACTCAGAGTTTGTATTACTTTGGATTTAAATTATGTGTCACGGAGCTCCGATTTTGTAAAATGTTTTGTAACAGTTATTTATGGATAATTATGATACCATTCAACATGTTTGAAAAGAAAATGAACAAGTTTTGAAAAGAAGGGGTTACCTCGGTAACTCAATGTGGCACTTTAGGCCCAATCGGTTTTAGGGTGTTACAATTAAAATCTCTCCCATCACTCACGAGAGATGGGAAGTGCCAGCAAGGCGATTAATAAGATCTCAATTATCTTTTTTCCTTCCCCTAACACAACTTCCATAAAATCCAGTGAAGCGAAAGTGGGAAGAATTCCAAAAAAACTCAACATCAATATGAGCATTCAAGTAACTGAAAATTGACATTTTTATATCATCCTTCTAAAATAACAAAAGGTAAGCACAAGAATCAGAGTTTTCGACCACAAAACAACTTAGCATACCTAGCCTAATCCTAACACACTCTATTTGACACTTACGAAGTCTTAATTCAGAAATAAAAACAAGATTTGGGTCCTTTGCAGAGATAAGTCTCCTAAGTTCACGAACCATCGACGCGTTCCGAAGCTCTCGACAGTTTCAACATAGGATACTCATGGTGATCGATGACACTGCTTCATAGCTTATGTCGCTGGCATAATGTTGTCACCCCTTTCACTAGGAGCATCATACGAGTCTTTCTCCTCGAAATTTTCAACTTTTGAGTTCATGCTTTGTACTGATTGTACTAGCAAATGACAAAAGATTTCTTTGAAGGTTGGGTCTTATCACAAGATTTTCTTTAAAAGGTCTAGAAAAATAGAAAAATAGTGAAACAACCTTGATTCTCTAACCTTTGTCCAAAGAGGAAAGTAAATGGGATTGTGAATCTTTTAGAGGTGACCTTTCAAGTAATCCAAATCAAATGACATATCTTAACAATAACTTGGGCTATTCAATTCTTGATTTTTCAGTGGGATATTAGAAAGGACACCTTTATACCACCTCGTACACAACCCAATGATGTTGATTTGACTTTTTCTTGCTCCTATGGCAATCCAATAAATCAAAGATTGCAAAGTACGATATCGATTCTTGCGTATTACCAAAAATGGCATAACCGAGCAACTTCCTCTTTCCCTTGGTAGGCATGTGGATTGGACATTATTAGTAAAGTCTATCTCGCATATTGAGACAATATGATGCCTTTTTGTGTACCATCATTGACTCCTTGGGGACCGTGTTATATCTTCTATTCCCACCCTATCCTCAAGTCCATTTTGGGAAATTACATAGCTTGGGCTACAATTGATTGGACTTTTTATCTTGGGGAAGTGTTTCCTTGTCAAGTCACCGGCTTTGGGAACTCCCCATGAGCTGGTTGGAGTTTGGGAGCTAAGACGGTGGTCATTTATTTGTTGGCTTCCTTCCACTAAGGGTAGAGGTGACACCTTACTTTGATCGGTGGTTCTTGATACTAATTTGCTCAGAATTCTTGATTGTTCCTCTGATCTCCTTTCACCCAAACTAGCGCGAAGGATGATGGTGTGAAAGTTCTTTCTTCTTGTTCCACCGTGTTCATATCCATCTCTTCTTTTGCATCTTAGAACTTTTGAGCATCGTTCCATTAACTGACTTGGATCTTTGTTTCTTTTCCATATCTTCTTTCTAAGGGATGCCCATTTCAGGAATTTACCTCTCTCTATTCTTTCATGGGTGGATTCACCTATACAATCTTGCAATGACGCTAAAGAGATGATGTTAGAACTTAAAACAAACTTACCTTGCAAGTGAACACCTCGAGAAGTTCTTCCCGGAAAAACTTGAACAAGAAAATGATAAAGAAACAAGGGGACGTGGATGCAAGATTGGGAAACTAGAGGAACAAACTCCACAGAACCTTGATCTAAACCATAAGAACTATGGCTGAATTTAGGAAGAAACCTAAATAAACCATTCATTTTAGAAAACCAAGTGGAAAAACCTAGAGAGAAGAGAGAGAATTTAGCATGTATCATTAAGAATTTAGATAACCCTAATTTTATGTTTAAATATTTTGAAAATTAAGATCTTGTGAAGGATAGAAATAGGTCTTCATTTTTTAGGAGGGAAGAAACATAGTGTAAAAAGGAGATTAAATGTTTTAGGAGTGAATAGATGCGTAATGGGTGTAGACATCATCCTGCATCTATCCTTAAGGGACCTCTTGTGTTTCGATGCGTCTTACACCTTCTAAAGCTTAGGTATAAAAGTTTCATGGAATTAAAGTGTAAATATCATAAGTTGTATTTATAAGTTGATGGGGGACATAATTATAAATACTTAACAAATTAACATAATATGCATCATAAATAAAGAGATAGTAGTCTCCCAAGAAATATGTTAACTTGTATTACTCTTATCCTGTCAGAGAGTTCTTACAGTAATAGAAAATCTATCTTCTTGGAAGACAACAATCAAAGAAAGATTCAATGAATTTAACATATCAATTAATCCAGATACATTTCCGTATTTAATATTTTATTTTTGATAAATTGACATGATTAAATCCAAATTAATTTTCATATTTGTTATGGCTTGATTATAACAAAAAGCACTTTAGTACACAGTAACATATACACATACATATGCATATAGATATAGATATAGTTTCGTAACATGACAGGACTGGGATTTCACTGGTTATGTTATTCGTTTTATTCAGGTATTATGGGTTAATTGGGTTTGCATCTCGTGCCATAGCATCTATGTATAAAATTGTTTTGTTGTTGAATCTGAGGAACCTTGGGTTCCATGATGTCAAAAGAGTAATTTAAGTTACCTTGCTAAAAGAAGGGCAACTTATACCTCGTCCCAATCGGTTCTTATTTATAATGGGATTGTTTGGATGTGATAATGAGAAATGACAAGGACCAGACTGAAATTAAGTAATGATTGGAAGCTGATCATTGTTTCAGACTCAATTGATCATTGTTGCTGCATTCATTAATTAGGGCTGGTTTTGTGTTGGCATCCAGTTGGCTGCTGTTAATATTTCTTCGGTAAAAATAAGGAAACATTCAAGTAAAATCAGATTTTCCCTCCAGCTGAGTTGTGACCCCAAGGCGTACAAATCAGTAGAGCCTCTTCCTGCCAACCCATTTTTTTATTATTTTATTGTGCAGCCAAAAAGCGATGGAACTGATCACGGATGATATATTAAACACACTTGTTCATATACATTCCCAATTATATAATTATCACTTCATAATCCCTGTTTCCAGTTCTCTTCTCGTCAATTATGTATAAACAAACTGGATGCCCTACTCCGCAGGCAACTGATCAGGTCCGCATACATCCCCTCGACAAAGAGGGCACACCCTACAAGCCAAAACTCATTAAATATATATGTATGTATAGGTTAAGATCCACTCACACTATGTAAAACTAATAAGTTTTATACTAATTTATAGTCATTAGATAGTATCCCCTCACCTAGCATATGAGATAATTCTACAGTACCACAACCTAATTTAAAGCGGTTTTTAATCTAAAATGTTATCTTATCTAACCCAACAGGTTATACAATTTATAACATTTTCAGTTGCAATCGAAAAAGTCGCGTTGCGATAGGTTTAGGTTTACAACCGAAAAAGTTATACAATTTATAATAATTTCGTTTACAACCGAAAATGTTATAAAAAAATATAATATTTTCAGTTTCAACCTAAAATGTTAACCCGTCCAACCTAAAAAGTACGCTTTTGGTAAAATTTTCGGCTACAATCAATTTATGCCATTTTTAAACCTTGTATTGACAAATATTTTAGACTTTCCTTGACAAAGGGCATGCAACCCACGATGTACTCCTTCAGGGGAACATAAGCTGTTTACCAAAAAGCCAATGCTAATGCATGCCTATTTTATATGGAACAACGTTAACCAAACATTTACAGTCATGTTAAATAAAAATTAACCTCGATAAAAGGTGTTCATCTTATACCTGTGAATCTCCTTGAGCCACTTGTCTATACATGTTCTATGAAATTCATGAGTACAAGGCAATCTCCTAATGATATCCCCCTGCTCGTACTCCCCAAGGCAGATGAAACATCTGTTGATTGAAATAGAGGGGGGAAATTAGGACCAAAAACACGACTGATTGCATACAAGTTCCATTGGAAAGTCTTTAAAAAAGGAAGCACAAAGAAAGGTTACGACCCTTCAAAAAATGAAAGACCATGTGTCAACACCGTTTTTCGCCCGGGCGGGAAAAAAACTTTGTACGACTTGAGAGTTTTCTTTTAAAAAGGTTTTGAAATATTTTGGAGTCGCCATCGACCTTTTGGGTTAGATAGGTCGAATACCTAAAAAATTTCTTTCAAAAGAGTTTTTAAGAAAACATCATTTTAAAAGATAAATCAATTTGCGTGTAACCAGAGATTCATTCTTTTTTGAAATAAAAAAAGATTTCGGGGATCGATTACGTGTGGGGAAAGATAAACACCCCCACAACGCCCAAAATTGGTACCCCAATCGATTATAAATTGTCTCTAATAGTGAAATCTAAGAATTAGAATATAAATTTAAATTACGATCTCATTGTTCCAAATTCAACCATACAATTTTTATTTAACAGGAAATTCTACGGAAAAATAGAAAATATTCTAATACTTCCAAACGAAGAGAAAATAATACCTAAAATATTTTAGGCCGAATATTTCTCTTTACAACTGAAATAAAAATAATATAATAATTGCTCCCAATAACTCAATATTAAAATAATTTGATTCAACCAAAATGAATAAAACTAACGTAGGCATATTCACAATTTTTAGGTTTTTCTAATTAGAGTATTTATTTATTTTAAAATATCAAAATAGGACATCTAGTTACTTTAAGACAATCCTTTCTTAATATTTTTAAAATAAATAAATATTGCTTTTAATCTAATTATGAAATCAGTCGAGTTATGCTTATGAGGCTTTCATACATATTCGAAATGTATAAATCTATATGCACGAACAAATTGACATGGAAAAGGAGGAAAAAATAAATCTTAATAAATTGAGGGAAATGTTGTAATCCATTTACTATGAAATTAATTAAAATAGGCATAGAAATACATTTAACAATTTTAAAATTTAAATATGCTAAGAAAGGTAAAGAAATATTTAACAAATTAATAAATCATGTTTAATGATAAAAAATTAAACTTTAGTGGCCAAAATATAAACACGACAAAAGCAAAGGCCAAAGATAAACATCACACAAATATAGGTGCTTAATTAAAATAAAATCATAGCATAACAAAGACCAAAATGTAAGATAGTGAAATAAAGCATTCAATGTGACAAAAATATGAAACATGCATATATACATATCCATCAGACTAAAATATAATAAAACAACAAACAATAGCCAAATCGAAAATAAAAAGTGACTAAAATAAATAAATTACAAATATCACATCCAAATCACAATAAAATAAAAACAAAATCCGAACAGTGACTAAAATGAATAAATAAAAAAACAGTGACTAAATTCAAAAATAAAATCAAATGCATATTCGAAATAAATAACAAAGTATATGACTAGAATGCAAAATAAGCTAAAATATGAGTGGCTTGAAGATGATTTTACCCTTATAGAGACCAAAGCGTAAACACGCTAAAACTAGGACCTGGTGCATAGAGGTGGGTATACGGGCTACCCGCCCGTTTAGCCCGCGGGTTTTGACGGTGCAGGCTTAAACGGAGCGAGCTAAAAAGCCCGCATTCATAAACTGTTTTGAATTTTAAGGCCCGCGGCCCGTCCATTTAACCCGCGGGCTAAATGAGCTTACCCGCAGCCCGTTTAATAAAAACAATTTTAAATATTTTAAATGCAATAAAAAATAATGTTTTAACTTACTATACCTTTAAAAATGATCGAGCAACTTAAAAAGGAAGGTAACACCGTCAAAATAATAAATAATATTTAATTTTTATTTTAAATAGCCGGAAATGATTTAAAAATAATATTTTTTTAATTTTTTAATCATTAATACATATATATATATATAATGATATAATTACTTAAACTCAAATTAATAAAACAATATTCACTTATATCACCAAATTGAAAAACAAATAAAACAATAGCCACATTACACTTTTATAAAACACGATTATTCAAGGCTATAATATGAAGACACAGAAGTGTCTGAATTTTGAAAGCATAAATTTAAACATAAAAATTCAACAAAGTCAAACATTATACAAATCTAACAAGAAAGTTGTCAAGTGGTCCTAATAATTGTATTTTATGGATACTTTAGAGAAAGACTAAAATATAATATGAAAATATATAAAATACTTACAGTATAAGAGTAAATTTGAAAGATACAGTTATTCTAAAATTGATAAAAATATAAGTCATTAATTTGTTAAAATATATTTATTTTGTAAAAGTCTTTAAAAATTGAAAAGTATGTTTTCAATTTTTTCTTTTACTTTTCTTTCTTATTTTTAATTCAAATATTAAGTGTCATGTGATATATTATTAGAATATCACGTGACTTTTTATAATTAAAGAACAAAATGAATAACATACTTCATGAAAAAAAATAAAGTTTAAAATTAAATAAAATAAATCTTTAAATACCAAAATGATAATGATGTATATTTAAATGAAAAATATATCAAGCATCGGTAAATTATGACTAACGCCCTAATAAATTTAAGAACTACAATAGTTATAAGTAACATCATATTTATAGGTAATTTATTTTTTTTTCTATAAAATTCTTTAAGTTTATTTTATCTAAAATTTTATGAATTTTAAATTAAGCGGGCTTTAGCGGGTTTCGCGGGTAGCCCGCGGTTATACCCATTAAACCTGCGGGTTTAACGGTCCGGGCTAAAAAGCCCGCAATTTAAACGGTCTTCAATTTTTGAGGCCTGAAGCCCGCACGGATCGCGGGTTAAACGGGTAGCCCGCGGGCCTTAGCCCGTATACCCAGCTCTACTGGTGCATGATTTGACCCTGAAACAAATGAACTAAACAGAAAACCCCTAGAACCAGGGACCTGATACATGATTAACCTATTTTCCATATAAACAAAATACTCTCCCCTTTTTTCGTAAACCAGACGAGAAGCTTATCAAAGCTTCAAACGCACTCGGCCACTGCACTCAAGCTCTCACACGCCGGCCACCGAACCGGTGACCACCCTACACCAACCGACGACCTTTACCACGATGGAGGAGGACCGACCGAGCGATTTGAACGGCCGAAAAACCTCCATTATCTCCCTCTCTCGCTCTTTCTCCGCCCTTTCTCCTCCCCATTCGACGGCAGAGAGAGCTCAAAAACGAGCTCCCAACGCTGGAAACCACCCTTGGCCACTCCCTTGCTCCGACCAACGACTTAAACGACGTAAAAAAAAGGCCCCCCAACGCTAACCACTTACAAAACAAAACCCCAAAAACCACCCTTCAAAAATTGACCTCTCCGTCGAAACTCCCCGACTTTCGCCAGCCACCAACAACAGGCGTTTCTAGGACACGATCCGACTCTAGCACACAACCCTTGCAACTCGTGAACCCCGACCAACCAAAAGGAAGAAAGGAAAGGAAAATAAGCAAGCCAAAAGGGAGAGAAAGAGAGTCCAACAAAAACTGCTTTTCATTCCATTATTTCGGGGGACAAATGCTGAGTGATTTTACAAGGTTGGTTAGGGTATTAATAACCCCAACCACTACAATATTATAATATTTTTTGTACATAATAAATAAAAATAAAAAATGGTGTTTACACCATGTTACATGGTTGCTAAAAGTCAAATTAGTTTTTCAAGCTTGGAACTTGTGTATCGAACTCATCTTAAAAGATATTGTGGGTAATTGGTAGGGAAAATAAATAATTCTTTATTATGAATTAACATTCCTTTCACGATCAATTAATGCCATTGGACTTCATAATATTACATAGAGTTAGACTCACGAATCGACACAGGATATTGCCCATGAGGTCTGCCAACAATAATGCACAAGTTTAAGCAAGCTCATGAGAGTTTTAGATAAAAATACTCTGAATCTATTCGAGAATATAACATGAAAGCATACTTGATAACTTAGCAACCAAAGAGAGCAAGTATTTCATTGCCTCCATAATACAGAATTAGTAACAGTTCTTTCAGGTCTAAACAGTCTAATAGATTAGCTGGTCGAATATTGGCTGTGGCATTCACCTATCTAAATTTGCAGTTAAGAAGCAAGGTAAGCTGTCTCGTTATCTTCAGAGATCTACAACATTCACAAAGCTATTAGTTCTCTGTATAGATTATGTTTCATCTCACCTGATTATACATGTTTTAAATTTAGTCTGATCTAAGATGGCAACCATTCTCATTCTAATGCAATTAAATTCAGTAATCCTCCAGAAACTAATTTATTTTTAGGCATACTTTGCATATTCAGTCAAGTCTAAATATTAGACTAGAATGTTTCTTTGGCAAGAGAAGAACATATTATGCTCACATAACATTTTCCTGTCCATGTTCACAACTTGTGCAAGAGTAGAGATCAGAGTTTAAAAAGGCACAGCTGAGGCACACCTAGGCGCTAAGGCGAGGCGAGGGTGAAGCACCTAATTGGGTCTAGGCAAGGCAATTTCAATGAAGCGCAACAAAGCGCGCCTGTTCAATTTTTTTTGTTCTTTTTGTCTTTTTTTAATTTTTTTTATTATGTTTTACATACTAACTTGGGCCAAAATAATCAAATGATATTTAAACCATAAATCCTACACGCTAACCCTAATACATAAAATGTTGATGATGAATACTCTTTGGTGTTTACATTGCATGAACTGTTCTTTTTCCTTGACTATACAGCTCGAAAAACCATGTATATCTTTTATTTTCAAAAAAGTGTGCCTTACTTCAATAAGTTGCAAGACGTGCGCTTTGGCTATGAAACCCCTATCGCCTTAGTGCGTCTTGCACCCTTTCTAACAGTTGTAAAGATGTAATCAATAATTTTTGTACCAATTTTTAGAACACATTTCTGCAATGCCTATCTTATTCCTAAAGCACTATTTCAGAAGCAAGAGAGATCTAATGTCATAGAGATTAATTGAAAACTACTTGAAACTGGAGCTAATTCATATGTAGTGTTTGATTAACTTTTACTGAATATCTTATATCTAAGGCCATGATTTTAGATTCAGTCCAATAACAAAAACACTTGAAAACTAATAATTTGTCAAAGGCACAAGTTAATCAAATGGAAAATACAGCTTGTTTAACAGTTTAGCATAGTAGAAGAAAGTAAATACTTACTGCACAGTCTCATCATTCTTAAGTTTCTGTGACTTGTATACTTTGACAGGAAGTGAATCAACAACTTCATTTGGTGCAGGAACAGATCCAATTGAAGACGCGGATGGTTGAGAAGATAAAACCAACGATTGCTGATGAATTTCATCTAGGACCTAGTTAAAATACAAAAAATATTACTACAAGAGAAACGAGGAGGGCTACCCCGAGAAGGCAATAACAATAACAAACAAAAATCACCTCAAATAAAGCTTCAGCTAACATAACAATTCTGGACACACTAGACCTAGCACTGGTTGTGTCATTGTTTGAGCTAGAATCTTGATTATTTACACGACATGCGCATTGACCATTTCTGTGTTGACCAGATAAAAGGCAAGATCTTTCATGTCCTGATAAGTTCTCAAAACGGCTTCCTAACCGTTGAAGAGCTCGGACCTGATGCAGTTCATAGGTCAGTGACTAAAGTTAACAGAAAAGGATCTGCATTCGCTGAGATGGATAATTTTCAAAGAACCTATAGCATAAAGTAATGCATGCAGGCAAAACCTAAATAAATAAAGCATCAGGACATGCCTTAGCCAAAGTGATGGGAGTAAGAAAATTATAAAACCTGAGATCGTATTCTTCTCCTCCTTTCAAGGAAATTGGATCTGTGGTGGAACAAATCATGATACCTGGCTTCTCTGGATCGTGGAGTTTCAATTTCATTCTGGGAAATGGAGGAATCAAGAGCGGCAGTGGATGACGAGGTGGCTAATTCCCGAGTTTGATTAGTATTTAGTTGCCAGTCTTGCTGCAAAGGGAAAAATGAAGAAGCTCTACCAAGAACACGATCACGAAGCCTTCCAACACTTAAGGCTCTGCTAAAACGAGCATTGCTTTCAACAGACTCTCCACTTCCATCTGCATCATTGGCGATTATCGGAGAGCAAGAATTGCGGGGAGGTTGTTGAGGTTCAAGTGTCCCAAAATTGCCACTACGGTTCAACATTGAAAGACTTGTAGGAACAACAGAAGTGTTACCATCTCTGCTTAATCGGAAGCTAAAGCCGGAGAGGCATCGAGAAGGAGATTGATGAGCAGCTGTCGCGGCCGCACCGGAGGTGCTACCACCGGAAGTTACGCAAGGCGTTGGCAACGGCATTTCATCGTGAGATGCCGTTTCGCCTCCAACCTTTTTGCGACATTCTTTTTTTACCTGATCCGTCTCTGACACAGGTTCTTTCTGTTGGTGAAAATTAGGTTTAGGAGACTCAGATCCAGAAAGCGCTTTCAGACAAGAGGACCGGAAAACTCTATTCTTCCCCTTGGATCTTCTCCGCCGGGAAGCGCAGCTAGACGATGAAGAAGAAGATTCAGTTTCTGTTCCACCGCTGACTCTGCAACTAGGCTTGCTCCCACCGGATCCCATCTAAGTGTTGTTTTTCACTTCAGTTTCACCCTAAATCCAAAAGAGAAAAGGGGGGAAAGCGGCTTGAATGAAGTAAGTGACATATGGAAGATGTGCTTGAAATGCACTTCAACTGTTATTTAGGGAGGGAATGAAGCAGATCTAGTCAAATCTGAAGGATGGTTACGTCTTGAAAACAGTGTGTAAGGTTAAAAGTCTTTTTGTTTCCCCTAGGAAAATAAAAGGAAGGAGGGAAATCTGTAATTGCCTCTGTTGGAGTATTGTGTGGGAAAGCAATTGCCTCTGCCTCCACGGCCCAACGTGGATGCCACCCTTAATTTCCATTTTCAAAATACCATTTCAAAATTTTCTTCAGACGTCCAAGCAAAGGGAAACTAAAAATAAGACGAGGTATATTGTAAATTATTATAGATTGATTCGTTTAAAAGTTGATAAATATTTGATTTGAATAGATTCAACTTGAGTTTAAACTCAATTCGAATTCTTAATAAGTCAAAAAGAGTTATTTGATATTTAACTTGAAAAGCTCACAATTAATTCGAAAATATAATATATTATAGTTTTATTTTCTAAAAAAATAAATTATTAATAATATTAATATTTAATGTGTTGATTTTTTAAAAAAATTTATAGTATAATATTTTTATGCATTTAAGGTTTAAGTTTGAGTTTTAGGCTTTCAATCAAGTTAAGTTTAAGTTTTTTTTTTTTATTTTGAACTTTTACAAGCTTCAATTCATGGTTCTGAATTCGATTCGGGCTTAAAAATTTTAGTTCACGAGTTATCGAGTCAAGTCAAATTCCATTTCAAAATTTTTGAGTCGAATCAAACTCAGTAATACTCTTGCTCATCTCGACTCGTTTACAACCCTAGTCTAAGAATGACAACTTACAATCTTTGGACGCAAATAAAAATATGATAAAAATTATAATTTGAATTTAATTTAAAAAATTAATATTTTAATTAGGAGGTGACACATGTTGATATTATACTAGGACACATTTCATTAGTGACATAGGTCACCAACTGATTAAAGAAATTTTTTAAACTAATTTTTAAAATAATTTTAATATTTTAATTGAAATAAATGTTTTTATTAATAAAATGATAACATGTGTCAGCACCTCTTTTAAGACGAAAAAAAATGATAATGAATTGGTACGGAGAAATCAAACCCAAGATTATGAAGAAATCTAGGTGCGCTTAAATAACTTAAGACGAAAAAAATTGATAATGTTTGGTTAATGGAATGTAAGATTATCAGTGGGAATAGGATTACCGGTGGAAATAAGATTAATGAGAATGTTGTATTTTGTGTTTGATTCGTTTAGCAGAAATGTAAGATTACAGTGTTTGGTTAAAGGAATAAAAGATTATTAGAATGTATATTTTACCAGATTATCCTTATTATATATTTGTTTTTTTAACAAGTTGAATTCTACTATAATTAATTTATATATTTTCTTTAAAAATTTTAAATTCATTAAATTTATATAATTTTTTATACAAAATTAAAAAGATAAATAGGTTTAATGAAAGGATAAAATTTTATTTTAACCCCTAAACTTCATATAAAATTCTAATTATAGATTTTTTTGTAAATCTAAAATAGTTTAAGGATAAATTTGTAATTTAACCTTCGTAGAATTTTTTTTATTCAACGACAGAAGAAATATATTTTTGAAACAAAAATTAAGGGCATTTTAGTCCAAAATATCGATAATCAAACAATACCTAAGAGAAGGGAGTAATCACATTTCCGATAATATACCCCCAAAATACCACTTTTGGGAATAAAAAATTACCGGAGGTTGGGAATGTTTGCCAACCAATCGGGGAAATGACATTCAATTCCCACGGTAATCTAATATGATGCCAACCAAACACCCCTTAGGCAAATTTTATATTTATTATTATTGGGGGTGTTTTTCAAATAACTTTTTGAATAATTTTTTAATTTGAGTATAAATAGTTTATTGGTAATTAAACCCTTCATTTTTTAATGTTTGACAAGTACCTTTTTAAAAGAGTTGATTATGCAAAATAAGTTGAAAATGAAAACTCTGAAAAATTCAACGATTTGGGAGAACTGATTGCAAAATAAGATGGTAAATTATATATTTGACCTTATTATTTACATCATTACATCCTTCTCATAAAACTTAATCTAATGAAATGACATCCATCTGAATCCACTTGATGTATCATACCCTTATATATTTGTAATGTTGATTGTTATATAAGGGTAATATTTATAAATATTAAATTTTAAAAATATATTCAAATTTTTTAAAAATATTTACTAATTTTCTTAAAGAATTTTTAATTTTTTGTTAAAAACATTTTATCCGAAATAATTTCACCCCAATAAAGAGTAAAGTATTATAAAATATATATGTATTTAATAACTAAATGTATCATACTCTTATTTATCATTTTACCTATATCATCAATAAATTATTAGTTAAATTTTTAAATTTTATCAAACATTTCTATATAATTAGTTAATCAAATCAATTTTTCAAATCAGCTAATCAAATTAATTAGTCAAACCAACTACTAAAATCATCTACAGGCTATCAGCTTGCCAAATATCCTTTTTATGTTTCAGGCTTACCAAATATTGGTTGCTTTAGCGGCAAGTATAAAATTATGAATAGTAAAGTTCACTAGTAATGATGGGATTAATTATAATAAAAATATAAAATCATAGTTAATAATATTAAATTAAATATATAAATTTGTCATATAATTAATTATAAAATATTATTAAATATAAAAATATTTATTCAAATTAGGATATGATTAAATAATAATTTTTTACCAAATAATAATAATAAATCTTTTTAATATTTGATTCAAATTAATTTATAAATCAATTAATTAAGATTGATTACTAAAATGTACTTTAAATCAAAATTATTTAAAAAAATAAAAATGAAGTTAAAAGTTGCTAAGTTCATGCATTGAGAATAAAAAAACATTTTTAATAAAAATGTACTCTGATCAGTGAAAATAATAATCTAATAGCGTTAAATTATGATCATTGTTTATTAAAAGATCTTTTTTAATTTTGAAAAATAAAAAGGTGATTTTTTAATACTTAAAAATAACGTTAAGAATAATAATAAATATACAAATTTTTGTGCAATATAATAATAGATGTAGGATTTAGCCCATGGTTAAGGTGTGACTAATTTTCCACTTGATTCTAAGTGCAACGTCCGTTTAAATGGTTAGTAGTTTCGGGTTGAACCAAGTGAGATTTAGTTGAACTCTTTTGTCAATTAAGAAGCATTAGGTTAAGTTAGACTTGATTTGGGCTTGGAATAAACCACTATAACCATAAAAAGGGCATTTTTGATTTGAGGGTAAATGGGGATTGACCAAAGAGATCATTAACCCATTTATTGTTATTAAGGTTGAATTCAATTAAAGAGATGCTTTAATCGTGCAGGGAGAGAAGTTATTTTTTACTCCCTCAATTTCTCTCCCAAGTTTGTATTCTTCTCATCTCTATTTCTCTCTTTCTCTAGAGGCTTTGTACCATCAAAGATGACAACTTTACTAGGTATCATCTCTTGTTCGGATTAGTAAAGGTAAGAAAGGTTGTTAGAATCTTTAGAGATCTCCTTCAAGCATTCTTTCTCAAGGTTTGGTCATGGTTGTTAAAAGTGAGGTTTTAGTGGAGTTTTAGAAACATTTGTTAATCCAGCTCAGTTTTGATAGATTTTAACTTGTATGAAGATTTCTTAACCTCATTTCAAGTCCTATGATGAGTTGGTAACTCATTTCCTTGATTACTGTTTATTAAAAGAAGTAGAAGAAAACTCCAAAAGTAAAGGCAATTAGAAGTTTGTGATTGGTTGAACCTTGGATTGTTTCCAGCAGCTTAAGAGTAAGGTAATACACTTCTAACTTATCTATACCACTTGTATGTCATTAGACGTGATTGAATGGCTTTTATGAGTAAATGAAACATGTGAGTGCATCTTTGCTTAGATATGGTTTAGATGAATTTGATGCTATTAATGCATGAAGAATGACCTAATATGATCCCTTAAACTCTCTTAAGCTTTTATAACATTCAATAACCTTATGAGGGCTTTGGGATTAAGTTAGTGATATTTTCATGAAAAATAGGACATGTATGGGTTTAATATCAATATAGGATGAACAATATCAATATTGTTCTTCAAGTAGCCAAAATAAGGAGTTTTAGATGGGTATACCAATATTCTGTTCATAGAGTATCTAATGTGATCCAACCCAACACTAAATTTTTCCATGACTTGATCACAATATTGAAGTTCATCAAGACTAACTCTAAGGAAGCTCTACCTTACTTTATCTTTAATTTACTTGTTTATGCATTATGTTGAGTTAATCGATCGACGGAATCGGCCAAGAGGGGGTGAATTGGCAATTAAAAATTTCGTGGAAGCTTTTGCAGAAAAATTGAAAGTAATTGCACAACGATTTACAGTGGTTCGACTTTCTCAAACAAAGTCTACGTCCACTACCTTAGCTATTCACACTAAGGATTTTCCAACAAATTCACTAATTTGTTCTTTCTTTTGAGGCCAAAGAGATAACCTTACAAAATCCCTCAAGAGTATACCCCAACTCTTGAGAACACTCTTTTTCCCAAAGAGAAGATTACAAATTTGCAAACTTACAAGAAAACCTCACAAGGTAAGATGTTTGCACAATTCTAGAACAAGAAAAGAACACTCAAAGATAATTACAAATGAGCACAAATGGTGTTCTTGAAAGCAAAATGAATATTGAAAGGAAAATTGGCTTGATTTGCACAAACTTGGTGTTTGATGCTTTCTCTCTTGTTTCTCTATGATTTCTTTTTGATCAAGGGCTTCAGAACTTGTTTAAATACACCTTGAATCTCTTCTGAACGTTGGGGATGATTAGTGAAGATCATATAGCCGTTTTAGTGTGAAAACAATTAATAAAACAGTTTGGAGCGTGGGGGGAATCGGTACCCCCTATGGGGAATCGGTTCCCTAAGTGTAAAATTCAAATATTTCGACCATTGAACAAGGGGGAATCGGTTCCCTCCGAGCATTCTGGAAATCTCGGAGCCAAACCATTCAGGGGGGAATCGGTACCCCCTTGGGGGGGAATCGGTTCCCTCTGAGCAATCTGGAATTTTTGGCTTTGAAATGGTTCGAAATACT